GTCAATATGGGGTGCTGTGTGTACATTAATGAGGAAAAAAATTAACTTAAATGATTTTAGCAAATGGCTGCAATATAACAAAGAGTGAAAAATTTAAGGGGGTCTGAATACTTTCCGTACCCACTGTATATATATATATATGTAACAATAAAACATTTACATATTATTAACAATACACAATGCATATTCTGTGCTGTAACCTCATGATTATCATCGCTGTGTTATTAATCATATAAACACAAATGCAGGGGCTTCAGACCTGCAGTGCACCACCATGGGTCCGGCGTCCGGTGGGTTGCAGGACTTGACTCTGCGCAGGAAGGCCAGGAACGGCGTGGGATGCTCCGGAACGCCGTGATCCGGCCACGCCGTGAACTGGAACTGCCGCACCTCTCGCTTCTCGCTGGAGCCGCTCTGAACGCAAGAGTGAAACGCTCTTCAAATATTACAGCCAAACATCACATGCCCATTATTTACTCGACACGAGGGCGAGTTAATGTGGATTTTCCCTTCAAAGACGAGCTGATCACGTACCTTGTAAAGTGCAAACGTCCGGACGCAGTACGTGGCCAGCTCCACCGTGTCCAGCAGCGTGACCTGAATGAGTCCGTACGTCTCCGTCGCTCTGTTGGGCCAGTACTGGTCACACTTCACCTGAAACACACACAAACACACATCGAGCTCACATAAAGCCGGAGAAGGAGCGGCGCTTTTCCCATTCCCTGCTGACAAGAGGATTTCTCAAACCAGCAGCGAGTGACAGACGCTATAATTACTATCTCCAGCGCTCTGTCGCAATCACATCACAGCCGGCCGTCATTACCATTATAGATGTGGGCTGCATTGTGAGCGGCGCACCGAACAAAAGAGATGCTAAACATGAAGCCTTCAGGTTACTGGAGGAAAACCGACGTGCATCTCGTGTCTGTCTGAATGCAAACAAGAGCAGGATCTGAACGATCATATTCTGCTAACAACATTAGGATGCTGAATATCTCATTAAAATGCATCGAGTCGAGGCGTTCCAGCGCATGTGTTACATAGAGCAGGGCTCCTGCGTTCATGTGTGTCTCGAGTCCAACTTTACTGCAAGCGTCAGTCTATGGATTCATGCAAAGGACGATTCATGAATTAAAAAAGGCATGGATTTAAATTCTGCAACTCATAATGGCAGCTGAAGACGACATGATGTGCTGTGTCTTGCCTAAGAGAAGAAATGAGAAGGAATCTGAGAAACACACACACGCAGACACACACACACACACACACACACACACACACACACACAGGTTAGTTGAGCTTTTTTTAATAATACCATTAACACTGTTGACAATTGCACACAATTTCAATTTCACTTTCTACTTCGGGATTCATAACTTCCATGCTGATATTTGAAAGTAACTGGCTGTCAAACATATGTTTAACTACACCCAGGACAAGGCTGATCACAAGAAATTGTACATTTTCATACACTGGTTTCCACACACTCACACACACTCACACACACACACACTCACACACACACTCATATCAATGATGCAATTGAGGAAAGGATGGGAATGAAATGTGGGTGAAATCTGTAAAAATTGAGGATGGCATGGATTGTGATATTAATTAGACCAATAATCAGTTTGACAAAAGCTATGAAACCTGTTTGGAAACATTTAATTTAGCCATAATCGATGTAATGTGTCAAAAACAATACTGTTAAAGCCAGCACTTTCCACAAATAGAGCACAAAACACGGCCATAAAAAACAAACAGCGAAAATAGCTGCTTTACTGTCAGAAAACTCTCAGGAGGAGAAACTCAATTGCATTTTATGTTCGTATGACATTTACAAATTTTTTTTTCAAACCCTATTACTAAAATTTAAGACATAAATACAGTTTAACACACTGGTTTGTGTAATTTTGTCAATTATTTGCCCATAAATATTGAACAAATAGCATCATTAAATAGAAAAACATATGCTATAAAATACTTATTTTATTAATTTATTTCCTATAAATTCAGCATTTAGATGAATATGATGTATATTTTCTTGATTTATTATTATTATTATTATTATTATTATTATATTTCTTTCCCTTAAAAACAGGATTGCACACATGTGTGACAGTTTAAATGTTTTTGGTAATTAACATTAGTTAAAATTTCTTTACTACATTTTTTGGTTATCAATTACACATTGTCGTATGATTTTAAAGTGTTACATATAGTTGAGAAATTTAAGCTAGATTTATTTTATGTGAGATAATAGTTTATCAAACATGTCTAAAAGTTCTCACCAATGAATGAATTAATGAATGATATATAGTGCCAGTTATATAAATAATAATAATAAGTATTATTATTGTTGTTGTTATTTTTGTCCAAAATAATCACTTAAACAATAATTACAAATCAGTACTGCATTAAAACTGTGAATCTGGTATTGATTTACCTGGACTCATTCTGACAGCGTTTCCTTACCAAATGCCACAAACATGTGACAAAAAACTAGTTTGTGAGTATGTATTTAGGTTTATTTTTCATTAATTAATGTACTTATGAAATCTGTTGTGAGATGCAGTGTACTTGCAGAGAGACTCCGCCCACTCGCTGTTCTGATTGGCTGTGTGGACAGATTCTTGTGTTGCGTTTAGTTAGAACATGCCGTAAGCCAATCGAATCGCAGGTGAGTAGTGATGTCAGAGCGTGTCATACCCTGGATCTTTCCTCCAGTTTGGTCATCATGACGATGTTTGAGCTCCGCTGCTCCCAGATCATCCGCCAGAAATCGCCGAAGGTCTCGGGCAGCGCGCCTTGAGTGGCGATGTAAGCGTTCTGCTTCCGGTAGCCGTCGATGTAGTTTGCATTGATGTAATCGCTGCCTGGAATACCTGCCAACACACTGTGTGTATTTTAGAAGTAATAGTTTTACTTTGCAATAACAACACTGAATGCAGTAAGAGAAACATACAGTGGGTACGGAAAGTATTCAGACCCCCTTAAAATTTTATCTTATAAATCAGCTTCTCAAGTAAGTCCATCTTGTTTTAATGATGTTTATTTTTTTATTTTGTTTGTTTGTTTTCTGGACAACAAGAAAAATGCAGATTAAGAAAATTAATTTTTGCTTTGTCTGTGCAGGATACATGTGATCCTGTCTTGAAATACACCCTATCTAGGTGGCTCATTAGTTTTTGGAACAGAGTCACACACACACACACACACACATGTCTGGTCAGCTATTCTTGTGGGGACATCCCATAGGCGTAATGGTTTTTCTACTGTACAGACCATATATTCTATTGCCCTTCACCAACCCTACCCCTAAACCTACCCCTCACAGGAAACTTTCTGCATTTTTAGATTTT